GCACCGACGTTCCGTTACGAAAGACTCACTCTGTCGGATCGTTTTGTTGCACTGTTGGTGGAAGAGATACCGCGAGACTATGCTTGTCGAAACAGTAATTTGACAACACTGACTGAATCGATTCATGGTGATTAAGAATTAATTAACAATACGTTAAATATGTAGTGAACAATAGTATAATACTGTTAGTAGGTAGAATAATTTATTGAAATATTTCAGTGGACTTCTGGCAACAGAATATGAAAATAATAAATTAGTAATTGACATGCTTAGAAGAAAGTTTTAAATAATTTTTCCAAACTAACGTTTCAAATTCTTTTAACTTTACATTTCTATATCCCAATCTCATTCTTGTTGCTGCCGAGTGTGAAAAAACTTTATAATATTTTAAGAAAAACTTTAGCATAAATTTAATTCTTTAGGGGTCAGACGACGTTCAGTGTTAATGATCTGGGCTTGTTTATAATTTTCTTAAATTTAATATATATTAATAATAATAATAATATAAAATTAATATATATTAATATTAATAATAATAATACATATATAATATATAACATATATATAATATGTATTAATAATAATACATACATACAATAATATATATTAATAATAATTAAATAACTTTACAATAATAATTTTTACAACTTTAAACGATGGTAGTGAATGATCTATAAAATTTATTACTGTTGAAGTAACTTCCAACAGATGGTCACGCCAACTGAAAAGTGTAAAAGCATCAGAAATCTTTTAACAATAAAAAAAAATCACTGGATCAGACCAAAAAAAAAAAAGGAAAAAAAAAATGATACAACAAACGCAGCAGAGTTAATTTACATGCACGCGGTATCTCTTCCAGCAAGTATACGTCTACGATGGAAGCAGAGAAACAGAGACGTGTCCTTTTTTTTTCCACGGTTCGACCACATTTGCATTAAACATTACGCTTGCTTTCTTCCGGTAGCAATTGCTCCACGCGTGGACGTAAATTGTTACGCAAGAGCGTGTAACGGGTTCCAATCGGGGGTACATAGCTGGCTACCGAAATCATTGTCGGGATCTCGATTTACCATTAGATAAATAGGAAGGTATTGATTTATTGTTGCTCGATGGCAATTAATGCCGCCGATATATGGTAATTATCCGACCGGTGTATCGCCAGTATGGTAGAAATTGGTTACAGGAATGGCCTACTTTTACCCGCAAAACATTTTACGAGTAATCGTGATCGCTTTTTCTTTTTGTTTTAATTCCGACGTGGACGCATTGCAAAATCGTTCCATTTAGCCATGCTTTCTAATCAAAATATGTTAAATGTGGATAATCAGTCGCTCAGAAACTAACAGTGATCGAAATTCTATGAATTGAAGAGAAAAGAATTAGGCCAAAAAATTTGAACATTGAAAAATGCATGTAATGTACAGGAATTTGTAAAATAATCGCAAGATATATGATTCGTTACAATGTTTAGCGTGTGAGATAAATATCTGCTGAGATTCCATTTTTTAAATATCGTGATTTCAGTTTTAATTTCAACTTATTAATGGTTGTAATCCTTTTACATCCTCGGTATAATAATTGAATGATCACAGTGATAGTCAGAACGATGTATACAAATACTGATTGAAGAAATTCAAGTAATTAATTCAGGCAAATAATTACATTCACAATAATGTGAAGTAATTGAAGAATAGAAACATTCACAGACAAATGATAAAATTATTACATGAATTATTTTTTTCAATTTATCTTTGAATCTAAGATTCTTCGTGATGACATCATGTCTAACAAGAACTTCACTTATTTGAATGAATTTAACCGAATAATAAATAATTCATAGAATAGAAGTTTCTCCAGGTAAAAACTTGGTTTCACGAATTTCTATTTTCTAAAATTTCGTTGCAATAATTGAAATTCAAATAGGTTCTACTGGTAACCCCATCAAGGTGCAAGGCACTTAGATATTATTTAACAAGAGTCAACATTCACAACTTGCTAAGACTGCAAGATTTCTTAGAGTTTTAACATAGGCATCTAAAGCTTCAAAAATTACAAGCTTCGTTATAAAAATATGCTGTTACTACATGGAAATAGTTTATGTAATATCTACAACATCTGGATAGAAGAAAAAAATTATAGTTGCTTGCTATTTACTAGTTTACTTCCTGAGAGACTCGTACATCACCATAAAGTGTTGTTTCATTAAAAAAAAAAGAAGAAAGAAAATAGGAACAAACGAATGTGGAGAAGCAAAGTGGCAATGTGCCCCGATGGAACGTGTAGCCTGAATGAAAAATGGCGCGAAAACATGAGACAGTACGAACGGTGTTAATTACGCCGGTGAAATATCCAGCTGAAACTCAACTTCAACGATACTTTCCACGGTGTAACGAGGAAAGTGATATCATTTTCGCAAGATTGATGCTAGATACTGCCGCTTTAGAAACTTTTTCCCTACGATAATTAGCTTTTTACGCGTCATACTGCAAGAGATAAGAAGCGTGAAATTGTTCTGCAAGGGTTGTGCAACTCTCGTGTGTTCTTTGTCGTAACTCTTTACCAATAAAAGTTCTACAATATATGTACGTGACGGTGCGCGCTGGTTCAATAATTTCTAATTTCTATGTTAATCCAATGGTGCAAATACAGTTTTTGATTATTGATAACAGGAAACAGTTAAACGACTCGGTTAAATTAATGTTTAAGCGTTAATGACATACGAAGTAACAAACGTTGTTTAGAAAAAAAAAAAAAACTGTGTTTCAGTTCTTAGGTTGGCGCATATATATAAATGTTCAATTATATTTTATTTTATCAATAACCATATTGATAATACTATTAATCATAAAAAAATTTAATATATATAATAATATATTATAAATGTATAATTTAATATATTGATTAAAAAAGAAGTATTAAATTATTAATATAATTTAATATACTATAAAAAAATTTACTACAAATCAGATATATTCAACGCCAAGATTTATAATAAAGATCTTAGATTCTCATTATCATTATTTCATAATCAGATAATTTTCTCATATCACGAAAGTTATTAAAAATATTTTATCATTTAAGATAGATTAAAGATATCTTTTATTTTATCTTTAGACAATTTTTCGTGCGTCTGTAAATTAATTACAAAAGATCCAGAAAGACACAATATTTCATAAATTTTTCAATTTTAGAACCGATAATTATTAACCGAGACTAATTGATATTGATAATTCTTAACAAAGCTCGTTGATCATTAAGAATATCATTAGTATGAAATCATATAGAAATTGTTTTGATATTCAAACACTAATACTGCAGTTTCATCCAAGAAAACATTTCACATCCATCAACCTAATACTAATTAAACAGAAAACAGTTAAACAAATAAACAACGTTTCGAGACAATATATTTCACTTGTTATAAACTTGTCGAAACGTTTGCAATCAATCCTATCAGACGTTTCTTACAGAACGCAGGAGGAAAACTTTGGCAGTCTGTAGAAAGAACGTTCCTTCCGGAGGTTCAACATTCCGCCATTTTGTAAATTCCTTCCCCGTTTCCTCCTGCAGACGTAAGTTCCTCTTTCGACGCTCGAACGTCGAAACCGTAGCGGAGACACACCTATGGTTTCTTGCGTTCGCAATACTTTTCTTTTTTCAGACGTTTAATTAGACAGAGCATACAAGGCGGTCGCTTTCCCTGCAATTAACTCGGACGACGGTCTTATCGACCGTGAGAGCAAGAAGGGCTGAAACGAGAAAAACGAAGGGGACTTGCCACCATGCTTTTATTGCTCCGTGTAACGGGCAACGTTACACGCTCATTGGCGGATTTATTGCAAATCCCTTGGCTTCATCCAAGGGATCTTTCCTCTCCTCTGTGTTTTGAATATTTTTTTCGTAAGAATTTCCAGCGAGATTACGAAACTTGCAATCTCTTCCCTCTAAACTTTACCCTCTTGTTTATTTTTTCTTTTTCTTTTTTTTCTTTTTTTGTACAAGATGTTTTGGCTTTAATAAGTATAAGTTGGTTTTCTGTATAATAATACGGAGTACATTGCAGATGTTGTAAGTTGTAAGTTGTAAGAGGAAATATTTTTCATTTCGACTTTTCTTCTTTGAGGGAACAACATTGGCATTTCCAACGTTCAATCTGTCTGTCCATTCATGCAGTTCTCTCTTCTTTGGTAATTTTTACGCTAATTACATGGAGGGTTTTAGAAGTTGTGCAAGTCACCTCTCATTAAGAATAATTTATGCCATGGAAATATCCTCCTCTTGCTAAAATTCTCAGTCAACGGAACAGTTGATATGGTCATTATCATATAATTATTATGATATTGATTGTGAATGATTTTGATTTCGTAATATTATATAGTTATTATGATATTATAACTAAACTATTCCATAGACTGAAGTTTGTGTGTAACAAGGATTTATTTTTAATGGAAAATGACTTACACTGATTGATTGGCTTCTGGTCCCTCCTTGTATCACGTTGAGAAAAACTCCCATTAATGACGTAGATTCGTCATGGTTCGAAACAATTTAACACATTCAGGCTCCAATCGACTTTTCAATTTCACGGAGAGAAAGAAAAGAAATACAATTTTCTCCTTTTACGTTTCATAATTTGTTACGATTTTATTATCAATGTATCGTTATATAAGTTTCAGAACACGAAATAGAAAAAAGATTTTTATTCCCTTTTTGTCTTGACTGTATCAATTAGTAATAAATAACGTCGAGGCCACGCGTTTAATTAAAGTCTTTTATGAAGTTATCACGATTCGATGTACAATTTTATCGATCACCAATTGCTTTCCATTTAATACAAATGGCTTCCTCGAATTGTTTTGTGGCGCGATAGAGGAGGCTGTGTCTTGAATGTCGATCAATAAACAAGTAATAAACACATTGTCCGTTTAAAAAGGACATCGTGAAGTGTTCGTTAAAAAAATTTTAAGAGAGCAAAAAATTCAAGAGCAAGATATGCTCACCTTCACGCGGTATCGTTGCCTCATTTCTGTCCGTGTCTTTGGGCATCTGGGTGGAATCTGCAGACACCAGGTGAACGTGTTCACAACAACCGGCTCCGTGTACGTTTCCATCGAAGTGACCGTGTAGCTGCAATGTTTGATCAATTAAGTATCAACCTGTGTCTCGTGGTTTCCTTATCGGGAGAGCACCGGCGGCGTGCCGGGACCAACTGGCCACGCGTATTAAATTAAGAACTCTAGGTTAGTGTCAAGGTTCGTTCGCCAAGCTGCTTTAACTTTCGCTTCGCTTCAACGTTCGCGGGATTAATTTTCATCTCTCAAATTATCTCGAACTATTGCAGAGTGAATTTTATGTTTGTGTTACCAAAACCGACATCAGAAAATACTCACTTTTCCACCCTCGAGCATACGTTGTCCGCTGAGAGTATCCTCGAGAAAGATATAATCAGGGATAGGACCACCTGCCAGATCCTCGAATCGCTCATTTCAGCTGCTGAAACAATTTTTTCCCCTTTAGCTTTCGATTAATTTTTTTTCTCGATTAACCTCTTGCAGAGCCGTGTCAATGTATCTCCATTATCTTCTTTCAAATTTAATAAAACACCATGATGTTTACGAAGAAAGTCCATATGACAGACGAATATACGCAAAATATTTATGCAATATGTTTGTGAAGCGATGAACAATAAAATTGATGAAATGTTTCAGCATTTTTATTCTTTCTTAAATAAGTAAATTTTGCATTTTATTCAATAGTCATTCCTCAGTCATGAAGATCTTTAGTAGAATAATTTTTTTTGCGACCAACGATACGGTAATTGACGAAATGTTTCGATCTTTTAATTCTTTTTTAATTACAGCAATTAGATAAGCGAATTTTGTATTTTTGCTAATGGTCATTGCTAGATCATGAAGACCTTAGTTTCTTCTGACATAAATAGACCAATACCTTTTTTTTTAATAAAAAATGAAACGATGCATCGATGGTAATAAAAAAAAGATACAGGATTCTAAAGAAATTACGTTGATCTTGAAACGTCTTCATCCATAAATAAAAACCGATTTCATCGAAATCACTTCCATCTCGAAGCAAGATATGTCTGAAACATTTCGGACAATGGACAAAAGAACAATGACAATTTCATTTTGCAATTGGATCAGGGGGCAGATCGGGTAAATTGAAAGATAATTTCAGGTTGCAATTGGACAGCCTGTGTATAAAAATAGGCATAATTACAATGACCTCAGGCAGCAAAGGATTTTGACTCGCGGTACTCACGTTTGTCGAAGGTTGTCTGCAGTGAAAGTCTGGACGGTTCAGGGTGAACGTTCAATTGGCCTTTTCAAAATGACACGTTGGTGCAGGAGGTTGTTGGACATCGACGTCGATCGGACGCCACCGTTGTCTCAAGTGTCATTCTTTCGCCGGAAACGGATCGACATAACAGCTGGTGTAAATGACCGGGTATCTAAACGAAAAGGTCTCCCGTTACTATCGGCAGTAAGACATGTTACGCGGCTCGATGTCACCGTACAAGAAAACCGTTTCGCGACACTTCTCGCCGCTGTTCATAATTTTTTATTAGCCCAATTATATTCATTGAGACGTTGTCTCGTCTTGCGGGAAAGTAACGTGAGACGGAACTTTCAAATATCTTTGGCAAGAAAAAAATTACGATATATATATATATATATGTAGCGTGTTCTGTAACGCAAAATTGTTCGTGTACTTGATGAAAAAAATTCTCGATATTTGAAACTGTTATAATTTCGCGAAAAAAAATCGTACATCAGTTAAACTGATCTTATAAAATGCGAAGCCTCATCTCTAGAAAATCACTGTAAAATCGTTTCAGTTTAAAGATCAAAGTTTCTCTTTTCACGAGCGACGAAAGCTTTTCTTCTCTGTTTTATTGAATTTTATCGAAAAATTGTAAGAAATCGTAACATTTTGTTATCGTAACGTTTAAAGTTGAGAGACAATATTTTGGAGACTAATTGAAGATTACAATACATCGATAATATTATACAAATGGAACTTGCAACAAGTATAGAAAATATTGGCGAAATTACTCGATGAAAAATTGTCGATATTTGTTTGTTTCTATGTACAACAAATTTTAAAAGATCGTTGCAAAGAAGAGATTTTTCAATGTCCATAAAGAACGAAATTTCTTTCCTGCTATTTTCGCGTGCCAGGCTAGATTTTTGCACAGAGAAATAATTGTGAACGGGAAATAAGAGAGCGGCTAGTGGAAAGAAACGCACGGCGTTGCGTTCAGACGTTGTTACCGGAAATTGCGTCGCCCATATTTGACGTAAGAGGGACGAACGATCTCTTTCAAAGGACGTCCTTCTCGACAGGAAATGTTAAGTTGCTCCAATTGGCTGATTTATTCGGCGGTAATCAACCGACTCGACGTATTTCATAAACACACAGCTCCGTGTAAATAATAAAACTCCGATGAGACCCGTTGAGGACGAAAACAGTGAAACAATGTATGAAAGTTATGCGATAAAGAAATAATAGAACGTAGAAGAGAGAATATAAAAATGTAGGAAAGATAGAATTCAATTCTTTTCGCTTCGAAAATTCATAATACCACGTGCTTAGAGTGAAATTCTTTCAACTTGAGGTTCAATGTTCTAAATGTTTGTAAACTTGTCATAAATTTTCATATTAATTGTGTTGTTACAATATAACGCCATAATAACAGTAGAATTATACTTTCAAAGATAAGAATTTCTGAAAGAAGGATATATCTGAATTTCATTCGGAATCCTTTGTGCCAAGACTGGTATCGCAACAGAATACAAAGGGTTTAATTTTACTCTAATTAATTATACTTTCAAATTGTACTTTCAATTAATTATACTTTCAAAGACAAGAATTGAATGAAAATGGACTGAAATTTCATTCATAAAATCAAGACCAATATCACGGTATAAAAATTGGTAAAATAGAAAGACTTAATTTTACTTAACCAATTATAATTTCAATGAGAAAAAAGTCCTAATAAAAAGTAGATTCAAATGTCATTCACAGAATAATATCTTGACAAATCGTACGTATCTGTTTTACTATGAGCACGCCGTGAAATCGATAATGGCACCCACAGACCGCAACAAGCGACAAACTTACACTTTCGATCGCGTCTAATGTCACCGACTAACCGCTCGGTCGTTCTTGGTTGGACAACTTCGAAACGTAGCGACATGTGGTTTATAATTCAATCTCTTGCCACTCTTTCCACGCTCGGAACGTAGGAATAGCATTTTGTCCAATACGTGCTTACGAATCTGAGTTAAATTCTGTATTTGTAGTCGTGAGAATAAAAATACTTCGATGAGTACACTTTTATTTTATACAAGTCAAGTTTGATGTATTTATACTTTTGCAGCTTAAGGGGGTGTGAACTTTTGAAAAAAATCGATTTTTTTCTTTTGCATATTCATAAATCTCTGTAACCTTACATATGAACTCCTAAAATTTACGATGTTATGATTATTTGAAAGACGCGACGACCAGCGTCATTGTGACCGCAATACTAAACTTTAAAGGCATTTTTTTGGAAACTATGTTTTTCAGAACCGTGTCTCAAAATCTACTTGACCAATTGACTCTACAAAAGTACATATGTGGCTATAGTCTCTACCAGAATCAATCAAAAAATTTTATGTTTTATATTTTTTTAGGCTTTCGAAGTTTAACAAAAACATGCAAAAATCGATAATCGAGCTTCAAAGTATCGCCACTTTTTTAATTACCGACTTTTTTCTTTTGTTTTGGCATCTGCTACAGCCAAACTCATACTAATTAAGGAACATTCACGTTTTTTTATTTCCGACGAGTAGAATGGCCGGAATCATGGACTATCTTTTTTAAAAACGACTATGTTTGAGAGTATGCGGTGCCACTAATTTTAACTTTTTTGTCCCAAAAGACTTTAAAACGTTGTTGAAATACGTACAATTTGACTGCAAAAGGTATAATTTCTTTGCAAAAAATTCCTTAACAAAGTTAAAAAAACACGCACTTTACACTAGAACACTCCCTTAATGATAAGTTCAATATACAGTTCATTAAGTATATTTTATACGAATGAAATTATATTTAAGTCTCGTTTCTACTCGACAGTAAAAAATATCGATGAATACACTTACAATATGTTCATTTTGTACAAGCTGGAGAAAGAGCAGCTAGAATTTTCGATTTTTACAAAATCCTATGTTTAGAAAAGACTACACTTCATCAAATGAAGAATTTTTAATGTTACATCAAAAATCCCTTCACTTGCAACATTTATAGATTTTTTGAACTTACCAATCGTTTTTCAATAAGTAGCTTTCTTCGTCAATTGTCAGATTAAGTTACAGTAAAGCAATTGTAGTGAAATGAAAAATTGAAGAAAAGCAAACGGCAAATAGAAGAACAGAACACTTGTAATATTGCACTATAATCACAGAATCAAAAAAAAAAAAAAAAAAAAAAAAAAAAAAAAAAAAAAAACAAAAAAAAAAAAAAGAAATTGTAAAAGTGGTAAATTAAAAGTCGTGCATGTGAACATGAAGACGCGAACCTTCTCTCTAGTTGAAACACTATATAGACACGATCACGTGAGAAATAGTTTCGATACTAGGTGTACTGTCACTATCGTGAGAAATGTCTCGTTTGTCCCTTGACGCTCCTGATGTATCACTCTGTCAAAAGGCAAGGTGATTGCCGGCGTTGAATGAATCAAGCAAGGCTTGTAAGTTACCCAAAACGAGATATCATCTCGATGCGCGCCAGTACAGAAGCTACTACCTAGATTTCAGATCAACGTGGAAGATTAACGCGGAAGATCTTAATTATCCGATTATCCCCGGCCACATCCTCAACCTTGGCTTTGAAGAAGAAATTCAAACGAGTTAATTAATTCGTTTCGTGTAAGCGGAGATGAGACCTTGCACAGTGAAATCTCGACCGTCCGTAGAGCTGTCACGGTTAAGTGAATTCCATTTCTCACTCATCGTCGCTGATATATTTCTTTTTTTTCAACCAGTTGGTTTTGCCTTAATGAACTTTCACCTTTTCTTTCCCTCCCGCGAAGTCCGTTTGTAGTAACTTTGAGTTGCACAGCGAGACACGAGACACTCAATTTCTGTTCTTTCAGTCTTGCAATGTTTGAGAAAAGGGAGAGAATATCTTTACATTTTGTTCAAGTTTAGAATATTTCGTAATGCCAGAAACATACAATTGGAGCGATTATTTAAATTTTACAATTTTAAAAAGTGCAGCTGGATTTAGTTTAGTTAAAAATTATGAAAATTGAGTGAACTTTGTGGGTATGAAATTTGTTTGTAAATACGTCTTTGGCTCTAATTCTTCTTCACCACAAAAGGTTCATTATTTCAACAATTTCATAATTATATACAAACGAAATTAACATGTGCTTGTTATTCGTTACTATCATTCAAAGCTACAAAAAAGTTATTATTAAACCTCCAATTATTAATGTAATTTTGATTCATGTAAATGTATCAAAAAGTCTAAATCATCAATTTTAATTAACTTGTTCTTGAAATTTAGTAATTTTATTCTCCACTGCGACTTGTTTTTATAACACATGAAGGTGTAATGAATTTTTCGCGAAACGCTATTCTGTAAAAACTAAGACTTAGTTCTCACCATTTCAAATCATATTCGAAGAAACGTAATATACATAATAATATTTAATAATTCAATATATATAATATAATACAAAATATTATAATAATTTTATATTTTCTTTATCGTAAGTGATACGATAGTCTGAAAGAAACAATGTTTCATTTAAGAAAAACTAAAAGAAACAGAAATTTTCCATGCACCAATCTCTAGTTGTTTCTCGCTCGTACATCAAACGTGTATTTTAATTGTCGCTAGATTCATCGTAGATAAATGTCGCGTTTCAATTGTCACAGGCGCTCATTGCAAGATCAACAACCGCGCGATTAATTTCAACGACTTTCCATTTCTCCGACTGGTCGTCAATGAAAGCCGTGGAAAGTCGATCGTCGTTACGACAGAGAGGAAACAGGTGCACACACCACGGTTCGTTGTACCGTGGAATGCAAATTCCAATACGAATGTCTCTATTCCCCGTTTTAAACGCGAAATTGGCTCCGACGACGTGGAATGACTTTATTCCGGCGTTTTCTTTCAACTCGCTGCGGAGGTACATGCATAGAGACGCGACGTGTTACGTGATCGTTGGCGACTTTGTTGGCGAAGTGTATCGAGAGAGAAGGCGTGGTGAATTGCCGATCGGAAACAGTTTAGCTTGTGCAAACTAAAGCTCCGTGTTCCAAATTTCGTCGAGCAAATTCATTCGTCATTCATGCGGAATGAAGTCGCGATATAACCGAAGAAGATACAACGGTTAGCGATTTTATGATTTTGAGATTTTAATTATTTTTTTGTGGTAAATTTTGATATGACGCCAGATATATCTAGACGTTAGGGATTGTAAAATCAGTTGTTGATTCGAGTTTTAATTTAATAATTAGCGGATTGTAAAATCAGTTGTTGATTCGAGTTTTAATTTAATAATTACAAAGTAAATATAGCGTTGTAAAATGTGAATTTTGAACTAGTTCTTCTATCTTTTTTCTTTTTCCTTTTTTTTTTTTTGACAATGTATTTCGAGATGTTTTTCTTTTTATAGAGAAAAAATCGTTTCTAATTTGTATTCTGAAGAGAGAGGTTTCTATCACGTTTGTATCCAAATGCACGTGTAATTAGTACATCCGTACAGTTATTAACCCTTAAATGGCGATCGCAGGATGATACTCATTTGAGTGCAGAAGCAGAATAGTTTGTACAATTATAAGATAACTACATGTTAGTAAAAATATGATAATAATATTTGTAAATACGATCTCTGCCAAAATTATCATATGTTACAATAAAAATTAAAACGTTAAAATATTTAACGAGAAGAAAAGCTTGTGTTGACAAATGTCACTCGCGTCCCTTTCGTTTAGTGAAGTCTAAAAAACTACAAATAATCTTAAAGACAAGAATCAACAACCCTAGTCTCGTTAAAAGTAGGAAAAGTAAAAAAAAAAAAAAAAAGAATCAAAATCTACAAAAATTTTACAGGCAAGAATCTTAAAATAACAATAACGAAACATAGTTTCGAATTTATTATTCACGTAACGTTCAATCGATGTATCAATTTTGTTGCTCAAAATAAGCAACAAAGGGCAGTCAATGTACGTACCTAGCAATTGCTTTAGAAATCGAAACACAAAGTTAAGAAGGAAAAAAGTTGAGCGAATCTTTCTCAAACTATCGACGCATCTTCTTCCCTCGGATGGGAATCGTTCTCACGGCTCTCCGTGTATGGTCGATGGGAGAGTAATAATTGTTCCGCCACGTATTATGCACGGCGAGGTTAATTTTCATCAAGAGAATCCATAATTACACCGTCTTGGGAGTTTCTGCCTTCTACACGCTCCAGTACATGATTTCCAACGAGACTCGAGGAATTCCAAAGAGACGTTGCATAATCAAACACGATACGGTTTCCCATGGCAGTGAGGCAAAGGACACGCGAGCAGCCGCGATTCGAATCAATCGCACGTGGGACTCGACAGGGGTCTGACGAAAAATCTGTTAATGATGTAACCGGCGGTGATCTTTCATCGTGGTGTTGGAATTTCTTTCTCATTCTTTCTCATTTTCGTTTTTCTTCTTCTTCTTTCGCCAAGCGCTCGCTGTACGGGCGTTAATTAAAATTTCACACGGCCGACGCGTTGCTGGAACGAACGGATTAATTGGAAAAGCTCTCACAAGTTTTCAGGGTTCAGCCGAGGAAACTTCCTCTCGCCTAATAGTTCCCGCCACGAGGCTGCGTTCGTGCAACGAGAATTTCAGCGTTAAAGCGATTTATCAAGCACAAAGGAACGATTCCGCGAAGGCGTTTCAATTGGAGCTAGGAAACAACAACAAACTGCTACTATATATATATATATATGATCAACTGTGTATACTCTTGACGACTAAACGTTCGACTAGGGACTAATATTTTAGGGGAACGCGAAGTTGAGATTTTGGTCCATTCGGAAATTTTGGTAAAATTGTATAATTCGTTTTCTATAATATTGTGCAATCTGTGATACTACTACATCATGATGATAAAATTGGAAGCTTATTATGCAGAAATTTAAAAGTGTAAAAATACGTGGAACATAAGGATATGAAACTTTAAATGTACGAGAATATGAAATTTTAAATTTAATTAAATTTGCTGGTTAAAAGTAATTTCGAATTAAGGATTCATTACAACGATGGAGCATTGCCAGTAGGCTAAAATTATTATATTATACTGGAAATTCGATTGTGCTAAAATATTTTGAGAAGAACGATTAACCTTCCATTTCCAGAAAATATGTATCCCCGATCGAACACACATGTCATTCATAGTTATATCGTAGATTTGCTGATTCCATGAAAAATTGATGATAAAATATACATACAGTGCATATAACATGTAAATATATTCAAATTTCGAATCACATTTATATCGAATCATAGTAATACGCGAAATGTTCTGAGGTCGTTTTTCTCGAAGATGTTTCCGTGTCAAGTAAGAATATTTTTATTCTCGAAAATGATTAAAATTCAAACGTTGAAACACTTTTCTCATGACTGGACTCACGACGATCTTGAATAGTGATTTTTTTCTTCACAATGATCTCTTAAAATAACCTGTGCGATTATTTTTCGTCATTTTGTTAAATTTTGAGAAAAATCCAACATTTCGTCGCTCAACGTTAAAATCTGTAGTTCAATGAAATGATGGAAAAAAGTCGTACAGCAATTTTAAGGAGGTCGTTGATATTTAAGACTGTGGTGATTCTATCTACAAAAAAAAAAAAATTGTGAATGTTTCTAGAGACGTTTGAATTTTTATAGTTTCTCAGAGTAGAAGTATCCTCGCTTTTACACCCGATTTACATGACGCAAAATTACATTTCTGAGAAGGGACGAACTGAGCTGCGTCAAAGTAAAGACTCAACGCTTCGAAATCAGATTAAATGAATTTCTGATTTTCTTTTTACAAAATTACAACCGTTTAAAATATCGACAATCGCTCTTTGCTCCAATTAAAAGAGCGATTCCAAACTTTTGCTACCGTGCATAGATCACATGGGTCACAACTGGTGCACAATCCGTATAAACTGATTAACTGGGCTTAAGAACCAAATTGTACCGTGGATCGATGGACGAGGAATCCACGGGCCCGCGATGGATCCACCAGATTGGATCCTGGACAGTCGGCGAAAGAAAGGTCGGAGGCGCGGACGAACGACGTAGCAAGACGTCAGCGAATGTTTCACAGACCGATTCACAACTGGCTTCGTGACGAACAATTGGCGTCGCCGGCACTCGGAATGCACTTGTGGCACAATGAACTCCGACCCTACGCGACCGACAACGACAACTAATACAGCCGTGCTGTAGAAGGTGGGGTCAGAAGATCCCATAGGGAACTGGGTGTTGACGATTCTGGGTCCTCTTTCCTCGTGGAAGACAGAGAACGCACGAGTGGCCGGCCACTCGAGCACTCTGAAGCACCGAGGATATCCTGCCCAGAGACATTGACACTGGTTCCCGGGGGAACATTCGTCCGAGCGTAACGAAGTTCACGACCTACGGTTCACTCTCTGTCTCTGCTTTTAGCGGCCCTTTCGGAAGGGCGCCGACGTTTAAAGAGAGGAATAAGAGGGAATTCGTTGGACGAAAGTATACATACGCTATAGTATACAACAAGTACATATAATGGCTTGTGAAAGTGTTTAAATATTTGAAGTAAAGTAATTAAATATTTTTATAAAGGCGGCCTACACTGCAAGTATAATCACTATGGTGAAAGTATTTAAATATTGGTCGTAGAATAAATTTATTGTATTAAATGAAAGAATAAAAGGAAATTCGTTGGACGAAGGTACACTATAGTATAATAAGTTGTGAAAGTATTTAAATATTTTTATAAAGAAGGTCTACACTGCAAGTATAATCACTATGGTGAAAGTATTTAAATATTGGTCGTAGAATAAATTTATTGTATTAAATGAAAGAATAAAAGGAAACTCGTTGGACGAAGGTACACTATAATATAATAAGTTGTGAAAGTATTTAAATATTTTTATAAAAAAGATGTACACTGTAAGTATAATGTCTGTACAGTGAAAATATTTACATATTTATTTTTAAAATAAAAGAATTTTTATTATGTCGACTGATGTGAAATATCATCAGCATTAAAAAAAAAAAAAACAGGACTGTCGTGAAATTGGAAATTAACATTCTGAGATATTTGTCGCAAATATATATTTAGAAAAAAATTAGTATTATACATATATACATACTAATTTTAATATACATACTACTAGTTTGTCTTAACCAGATTACAAGTGTTACAGATTCAATATTGTTATTGAATATTGAGGCTTATAATTGATACAATTGACTTGATATAAAATAGTCGAATTGAAAGATTGAAGATGATCAAATACTTTTGCGAAATATATATGTAAATATATGGTTTGTAAATATTATATACTTGTTTCAAGTTTCAGACTTGACCAATATAATCATGACAGTTCGGGTTTCACTATCGGTATTAATGAAATATTAAGATGTTTTGTATAACATGATGTCAGTTTTTTTTAACTGTCAATCCACGTACACGTGTATAAGAAACAGAATGATTACAATTTGATGCACTCTGTCACATGTCCGGATATTTTTGAACATTACTGTAATTCGATGGGAGCCGTTCATTTCCACGAAGGTCTTGGTTAAATGAAGCATTTTTCGTGTCGAGGGTAACGACTGTAATTACGGCGAAAGTGAGGCCACGAAAAACGTTCTGATTGTCTGTCAAGGCAATCCTGACATATTCAATTGAGAAAGTGAAATGTCATTATCATTTGGATTGAAATATCATTATTAAGGATATCATTATTTAAATATCATTTAATGGAATGATAAATAACCTTTCAGAAAGGTTATTTATCATAAATTTTGGAAATAATGGTGGGCAGAGACAAGTTCGGTACATTTTGAGAGAACGTAGAAATTGCACGAGTATTTTAAAACATACATATAATGGTACTTTGAAAAGAAAACATTATATATTGTGGAAGATTTTTAAGACATAAATATGATACGAATTAAAAATTTTGTTATTCTATTTTTTCGTATTTCTTTTGTTATTATTATATATCGTCATATATTATAATATTATATGTATGTTATTTACTATTATTACATAATCTTTTCATTCTTTCTTTTCTTGTCATTATATATCGTTCATGGATTGTAGATAATAGTTGAAAATATATAAAAGTTAGACACTATTTAGATTGAAAAATTAATATAATAAAATTATTGTACAAAATTATACAATATAAAAAATATTAAAATTGATATAATAAAATTAATATAAAAAATATTTAATATTAATATAAAAAATATTAAAACTAATATAATAAAATTAAAATGTTCATCTCAATTCATCTCATCTTACAGGAGTCATTCGTACTGATACAAGAAATACACACAAATCGTGGAATAATATATAAATATTATGCATGGATTTGCAAACATACTTGCTGTCTATTAACGTGATTAAGTAACGTTAATAAATAACCCAGTATGTAATTCTAAAAAAGTGCGGAACTAAACTGCTGTCAAGAAGTAGACGAACCATCCAAACACACACCGTCGAGATATATTTCGGGTACGAACCGAGAGCTTGACAAATTGCCCGAGCAACTGAGCAATTGTCCACGTTGGCAAGAAACCTCGCAATTAAGAGGTACACGAGCAATTGAAACTCTCAGAAAGGGAATTGAGCGTGTGTGTACAGGCAGATCTCGTCGCTACGTCGCTTTCGATCATTCGCCGGCGGTGATTGCACGCAACTATTCCTAACAGCAAGTTTAGCCAGCCGCGTTCCACGAATTCGCGAGATTCTTGGTGGTTGTTGATGGTAGATCTCGAACTTTTTCAAAGAATTTCGCGCGAACGAAACGAAGAGATGGGTTCTTAGGGTCGCCGGTTCGATGCGACTAGAACTAAGCAGACCTCGCGTAATGAGATGATTGGAAGAGCAATTCATCGTGTTCCCTCTTATTCTCCTTCGACACGCAATGGGAGCCGGACCTCGTTGGCCCGAGCATCGGCCATTTAATCACGTGACGAACAACATCCGACGAAACGGTGCAATTAACCGTCCATTGGAACTCGCATTATAATAATTAAATCAATAATTCGAAGCAGTACTTTCAATATAGTTATAAACTGAAATTAGGATCTTAGTTGTAAACATGAATTTTTTGGATACTTTTCACACGAGTCGATTCCATATTCGAACGTCCGATCGTCTGAATAATATCGATCAAGCGATAGAAAATAAATATTCTAAATATACTTGATGAGATACCTGTGAATCTCGATAGATTATTATTCTTAATTTATTGGACATATGGTTAACAAATATTCTCAGTGTATTTTTTAATTGGATTGTCGTTCTTATTTAAATTATATTAGACACGTGTATAATAAGTAATTGAGAAATTATTGATGGAATTAAAAGGAGATTTAACATTAACAAAAGCAGCGATATAAATGGAATATTTCTTTGATGTCATTATATAATGTACGGAAAGTCGAAACAATCGATAAGTGACACGAGGCATAAATAATATTGCGAAATTATTAATTTAGATCGAAATGGAGCAGACGGTATAAAATACAGTCATGTCGATTTATTAATACAAGTATATTTTCATCGTAGAATATCTACTTCAAAAATAAGCCATCAAACTTCTTTTTAACATTTTCGTATCTAAACACTGCCCTATAAATATTTTGTGACACTTTATATACTGTGATAGTAACCTTACTGTAATTACTGTGATAGTAACATTATCGTAGCATGATTCATGTAGTAGCTAATCAAGCTAAATTGCGAAATAAAATATTCGACCTATTGGATGCATCGAAACGACTAATATTAGTGTTTAAAGGTAGTCCTCATTAAATATCCGGCTCGCTAGCGGCGACGTAACGAGATAATTAATGTAAATGCTTCTAACGACCGCACGGGAATAGTGTCGCGACACGAGCGATCGAGCCGTAACGATTAAATGTGCATCATAGTTTCGCGTGAAATCGCGCGCGAAGCCAGGTATGTAACTCGGATCGTGCAGAAATTCTAAGAAATCCCGGTATTTCCAGTTTAGATCGACTCACTGTGAGCACAAATGATATCGCGAATAATTATATAGATTCTTTGCTGCCTTTCGAAGCACACTCGTGAAACACGAAGCAGCCATTCGAAGTAGGTACATACTTCACGCTTGTGACTTGATTACAAAATGACCTACGTCAAGGAATAGTTTAGTTAAACGTTACAAAATGATCTACGTCGAGAAATATACGAGTTAAATATTACAGGTGACACGTTGCTCTGATTTCAAGATATTGATATGAATTTTGGTTTCTATAAAATACAAGATGCGTACGATTTCATACAAGTTAAATTGTAGTTGGTTTATATTATTAAATATCATTGTATTACCAAGCAAATTAATTGCGATTTTGCATCGACGCGGTTGAAAAAGGGACAGACAACATCATCATCATCAAACTAAATTTTATTAAAGAAACTCTCGGCTTTAATTCAAATTGTAAGCGAACTTCTTTGAGTTCTAATTTATATAAAACTTTCTTTGGTACGTTTAGCTTACTTGTAAACTCGTAAAAATTACTTATAAAGATTATACGGAATAAACATAAAATTGCATAAAATCTGAAACGGATAATTTACATAAATTCTTATTCATCTTAAGATTTAAACTCACCAACTAATAATATTACTGAATCGACGGGTGTTAGATCTTTTTATAAATTTACAACCTTGTTTGTTCTTCACTGAGCACGATAGTACTTTTATTCGTATAAGTATTATTAGAATTTATAAGTGTTGATGACTGGTAATTTGCGACTTGGAAAATTTCTCCAATTTCTACTGATTTCATTGTATAAAGAGAGTTTAAACAATTCTTAGTCCAGATTTTTTAATTATTCCTCGATCCAAATTAATTATCTCTTGGTCCAGATAATTCCTTAATTATCCCAGATATATATAGTAATATTCGGGGATGATATAATTATCCCCAAATAATAAGTTATTATTCGTCTTGCTCTGTTCCAATATTTATGAACTAGGATATTTCCACGGATCGGAGCTTCCTTCAACATCGATTTGAACATCCATCAATTGGTTATTGGCACGATCGATTAATAACAGCCTCGTTTCGAAGACAGCCTAATTGCCGCGATTTGTCGGCGTCTAAAGTAACTGGGACA